CTCCTCTACAAATTTCCCTCTACGACCTTTCTTCTCCGAATTTTCTTGTACAACTTTCTTCTCGGCCTTCCTCTTTGGTTTTTCCTGTGATCTTAAGTATTGAGTATCAATCCCTCATGCATTTATGAGCTGAGAGACGCTGCTGAACCCCCCCTTCAAGTGGGGTGTACGCGGCGCGACGAAAGGGGCAGTCCGGAGCTTCCGCGTCGTCTCACAAGCCGATGCTGAAAGATCATATTTGTGGCGGCAAAAAGATAGATGTTTATTCACGGTGGAAGGGCGTCTTTTGATCCGAGCACGCTTGCGATACTACCATTATGTTTCTCAGACAGCCCCAAAACAACCCTCCATTTATGGTGATTAGTCACAATAAGCTTAAATGGAGGTCTAGGGTTTCGCGGGGTGAATGCAGTGATGTCACCACTGCTTTCCGATGTCGGTGTCGGAAAAACACGAGCCGAAAGTATCCAAATACGACAATTCCCTCCGCCTCAAGAAATTTGAGGGGACAACGCTCTTGATTGCGTGATTGAGCACATTTTCCTCTCCAGTCAACCGAACAACGCCCATGCACCTTGTCACTGTCGACACTTGACGATCGGCGTACCATAGATACTATTTCCGCTTCCTACGAACCGCGGTCCGTGAAACCCAAGCCACCAGATAACAATGTGGGGACTCAGTCCAGGACATCAGGGTAACTCGCAGGGTCCAACGGCTGTTTCAAGGGCCGTAGAGAATGCACATGAAGGGTTGGTTGGCATTAAAAAGCTCTCCGGTCAGGGAGTCTCAACGCTCACCGGACCCGAACCGGCAATTCTCTTCTTAACCGTCCGGAAAGGGCTTCATATTATTATATACGAGCGTATATCCAAAACAGGTCTGGAGCAATTTTGTTTTTAGTCTGCCGTCGGTGCGGTCCGCGACATTACGTTGTAATGTGCAGAACAACCAACTTGCTCGCCTGCATACACTATACTGTAGTCTGGTCTATATACCTTGCCTGTTTATCCCTTCTCGTTCATAAAACCAGTCATCCATCTGCAAAATCCCCTGCAATACTGGATTGGCTCATTGCAGGACAATGCCAATGTCCTTAGAACCGAATCAGTGTGCATTGGAGGGATACAATACGAATGCAGACGAAGACCAAAGAGGAAAGTCACAATTCATCTTTCTCGCTTTTTTGCTCTCGCTTTGTTTTTACGAGATACATTGCCCTACAATTTCGGGTTCTCCGAACTTCAACAAGTTTTTCAATTCCGCGCGGTATCCTCGCCGTGTTCACCAACCCCCAATCCCCCGCCTACAATTACCAAGGTCCAAGACCTGAAGTCCTAAGAACTTCTAAGCTCCAAGACCTCGATGGGCAGACTAGCGGGCCGGATGACCGTTAGGGGGGAAATGACGCTTTTAATTCAGCTCGGTCGATTGCCGCTTGCCTTAGTCTGAGCTTACTTCACGGCCCGCGTCTAGCTCAAGCTTACTTCCACAACAATGTTCCTCCGAAGCTTCGTGGCTGGAAATACAGTGTTCGCATAGATGTCTTCATCAAGCGCCACTCCCGCAGGACGGGACGGCTCGCATAACAACAGCGTAGTCTGGCTCACGAAACAGTTGAAAGGATTCATGTTCTGTGTTAAGTACCGATCGCTGCCTGTTGGGGAGCCTAGGTGGTTCCCGCAGTATGTAAGTACGGAGAAGTTATCAACTTAACGAAAGGGTGCAGCTGGCTTTCCTCCAGGGTTAGCGAAGCCCATTCACCAAGAAAATAGCGTGGGAGGAAAGGTATCTCGGTGACTTTGTTATCAAACTTATCATGCTCCTCCTCGTATTCACGGATCATATGTGAAGTGGTGGTGGGCGTAGGGGCCCTGGCTTGGCGCCAGGACGCTTTGAAACTCCGACCCTCCATAAATAAAGAGAGCCGATGTGACACCAATCTCGCGGTAAAGGCGACGACCTGTGCTTCCAAACCACACTCCCAAATGTTCGCTACCTTCAGCAGTTCCATGGACGCCCGGGGCAAGAGTGGTGCGAACGCCGCATCACAAGTACAGCGGCCTAAGAGGAATGTCGCAGCGAGAGCATGCGACAGATGCCGCACGAACCGAATAAAGTGTGACGATAATCAGCCTTGCAAGAACTGTCGAGTCAAAGGGGTTGAGTGTTGCAAGGGGAAACCAGGCGGCACGGATCGGTACGTTTCTAGTCTCAATGTTTCCAAACTATCCACGCCTATCCATACTGGCGGCACAGCTGGTCGAAACGGAGAACGATTCTTGAAAATGCAATAATGTCCTAGTTCTCTTCATGGATAAGCAAAAAGCATACATTTGTTGCCGATTCGGGAATAAACTAATGAGCGTGCCTTGCTTTTATCCATATAAGAGAAACTGGTGTCGGAGCAGAGAATCGAATCCAGTTCGGATCATCCCCAATTTATATCCGCCAGTATGGAGTGAGCTGCAGCCGCATACAGAATATGACGCTAATCCGTGGGCGACAGTGACGTCGAAACCCTTCGTACTCGAGTTAACGAGCTAGAGGCCCAGCTCCAGCGGAGAAACTCCCAGGAGACAAGTACAACAACGTTCATGTCTTCGCAGCCTGATTCGGAAGGGACTACAGGCAATTCTCAACAGAAAATCACCCCTAGACGACAGGTCAAGCAGGCCTGGCTGGGCTTTTGGAAAGCAAATTTGGATGGCACACATTCGCACTATTATGGGCCTACGTCACTCGACTTCTTCGTCCATCGTATGAGCAGCTATCTGGAATCCAACCGGCAGCAATCTAGGATAAGCGAAGAGCTGCAAAATGCTGCGAGTGTGGACCAGGAGTCCTCTTCCAGTTTTCAGAGTCATGACTTTAGGCAGGATGTCATGACACAACGCCAGGAGGAGTTCCTGCTTAATCTATTCTGGCAGTCTTACCACTCTGTCTTTCCTCTCTTGGATGAGATAGAGTTTAGAGACCATTACAACTCGTTATGGACAAACTCTGATTCTGCTCGCAAACCATCCGCCCTTGTCGACATTATTCTGGCGCTGTGCACGCAGTACAGCACTGCAGCGATCGCTTCAGGTGCGCTTTCTGTTAGCGGTTCGACCAACGCTTGCCCTGAACATCGGCAGCTCTTTGAGAGGTCGCAAAGCATCCTGCGATCTTATCCAGAAGGGCTGTCTGCTTTACAATGTCATGTCTACTCCGTCCTCTACCTCATCAATGCTTCCTCCTTCACCGCCGCTCACGCTTTACTCGCGCGAGCGGTGCACATCTCTTACGCTCTGGGCCTCCAGAACGAGGCGCCAGATTCTGTACCGGATGCGCGACGCCTACTATTTCGACGCCTATGGCGGTCTCTTTTCCACCTGGACTCCCTACTGGGTCTGTCTCTTGGTCGTCCACCTTTACTCGCGCTTGACGATAGCAGCATGGATTTGCACAGTAGTGCCGAGGAGAGGCCTATATACAGAGACATTGGCTGGGATTCCTACCATACCCAGTCAGTCAAACTTCTGACCCAAGCCCGCATCATATCAGCTTTGTTTGCAGGAAAGTGCGATGAGATGCTAGCAGCCCAGACACAGCCTTCTCTCTACGCCGATCCAATCCTGCTGGAGACCTGTGCTTCCTTTCTCAACCAAAACCTTGCACCACTGAAAGCGTGGGCAAAGGATGTACCAGCAGAGATGAAACTACTCCGCAAAGAAAACGTCGATCCATTCTCTACAGCACGATGTCACGTCGATTTTGATGGGTTCGCACCTTTCTGGTTACAACGGCAACGGGTGCTGCTTGAATTGCTGTACCACCATGTTCTTCACACCATGTTTCGCACTTTTATACGGTTTCCAAGCCAGAGAACGGCCGCTGGTTGCACAGGGCCCTCCATTACAGCCGCCACCGACGGAAATGGGCTTATGGCTCTCAACCACGCCATGGCTACTATCAACATCATCCATCAGACATTGGCTGAGACCGGCTTACTTAATTCCTGGCATAGAGGATTCCAGTATCTCTGGGAAGCCACTGTCACAGTAATTGGTTTCACACTGTCACGGCCGTTATGTCCTTTCACTGCGGCCGCTCGCAAGACGATCACCATGGCAGTGCAATCCTTTGACGATTTCGCAAGCAACGGCATCACTGCAGCTGCCAATGCAGCGCGGATCGTACGAGACCTTAACTATGTCATCGGTAGCCCAACTAGCAGCGGCTATGCTTCTCCAGCTCCGTCGCGCAACTCTACAAGCCAACCAACAAACTCCCCCTCCCCTCCCCTCGCTCATCGAGATCCATCTCGTCGGGCGAGCGCATTGGCCACCCCGCAACTACAACTCCAGAGTCCTCTGAGTTTGCCAGGCTCGGACGGGTCTTTATCGCAAGGCACGCAAGCAGGCTTCCCTGAACTGCCCGCTTCGATGTCTGGTTTTGATCCTAAGTTTATGGGTGGGGAGGGGCTTCCTATGGATATTTCTGCGGATATGATTAACACTTTCGATATGCAGAATATGGATGGGTGGGATTCAGATTTGGTTATGTGGAGTGGGGAGATGGGGATTATGGGGCAGAACTGACCTCGTTTTGCAAATGTTCGAATGCTTGTATGTAGGCGCTGGCATTACAGATTTCCATATGCTTAAGGAATCAGACCAGAGCCATTAACGAAATTCTCTTACAATTAGATACCAGTCCAGTCAAATAGAACGATACTCTCTTCCAGAAAAATACTACATCTGTGCCAACCGTTCTATTTCGTCCTCTATCCCTCACTTCCCAGTTACGTGTGAATGTCCTCCTCACACGCTCGACTTACCTTCATATTACTAGGTCTCACACATGCGCATCAATACCAATCTGACTCAAAAATTCCATCTCATCACATGCAAATTCCGGAAGTTGAGCAAGAAACCCACTTATGCGCGATTTGATTGAATATTCATAAGCGTTATAAAACTTTTGATTTTAAATGTCTTTATCAATTAAGTAAATTATCCGTTGTGGTCTAGTGGCTAGGATTTGTCGCTCTCACCGACAAGGCCGGGGTTCGATTCCCCGCAACGGAATCCCTTTTTTTTTTCTTTTTGCTCCTTTCTCCACACTACAATGAGAGTTCAAAATTTTTAGTGGTTTAGGCACCGTGCACGGCAGGGCTTGGCAGAGTATGTGGGGTGTGATGCCAAGGCGGCGGGCACGTAAGAGACGGGAGAGTAAAGTTAACTTTGACTATAATCTTTCTTAATCTGAAGCCAGTTCAGCGTCTTCATCTCTGTACTTCCGTTTCTGTTGCGTCCCTACACTGCAAGCAAGTCGTCTTTAGCTCGCTCTCTAAGGTAAATATAGTTGGAGGAAGAGCAGACACGAACTAATTTAACACCTAGCGACGGCTGTTCCACTCACTATTACCAGATGCTTTATAATCTGTCGCCGATTGTGTTTTCTCTTTGCTTCCTAGTCTGGTCGTTTACCTCATAGGACTCAGGGCATCAGCTTTTCCGATTTGGCATAGCTTCATACTACAACATCAACTTGGCGGTACATTCACTTTGCAACCCTTCGTGCATTCTCCCTGGATCCTCATTTCAATATCCACTTCTCACTTGCTCCTTTGTGTTCTCGCTATAATCACACAGCTTCTGGCAAAGCCTGTATCATACGGAAAAAATCTTTAACTAAATAAGACTAAAACTACAGATGCCCGCCATTATCAAATTCACGAACTAAAAAGAAAGCAAAAGATACCAAAGAGAAAGCAAAAGATACAAAAGAAAAAGCAGAAATAAACTCAGTTCCCAATCTTCTCAAGGAACCACCCCACCAAATGTCCGACAGTCGGGCAACTCCAAGTCAAAGTCGGTGGCACCTTGACACCCAAAGCCTTCTGCAACTGGGCTCTCAAAGTCACAGTCATCACACTGTCGACCCCCAGATCACTCAGGGGTGCTTTGGAGTCCACTTCATCACTGCTGCCGATATGCAGCACCTTCGCCACGCAACCCCTGATCTTCTCATCAAGATACGCTTTGCGCTCAGGCAGAGACGTCGGTAGAATGTCTGCATTTGCTGCAGGCGCAGAAGCATTTCCAACGGGAGCTTGCTTGCGTGGCGCAATATCCGCCAGCATAGGGCTAGGAAGCAGCTCGTCGGCCTCCAGGACAAGGGCACGGAGTACGACCGCATGATCCATGTCGTAATTGGAAACGTGCAGCCATGCACGGAACGCCTCATCTCGGGTAACGTCGGTGATGCCCTTGCTTGCGAGCTCGGCGTTGATGAAGTCTAAGGCATGTTAGGTTCGTACACTACTAAATATTCTGAGGATGCTTACCTGTGCTTGCTGCCATACCAAGGCCACGCCAACTAGTCCATTGAATTGCCATTGAGTTATCACCTTGGGATCGGCGGTGAGTTGCGAGTGCGTCTAGGAAAGCATTTCCGGAAGCATATGAGGCTTGTCCGGGAAAGCCGAACAGTTGACCGCACGAAGAGAAGAGCATCATGAAGTCGAGCTGTCCAACTGGGAAGAGTGCATGCAATGCCAGCGCACCAGAGACCTTAGGTGCCAGCACTCTCGTAAAGGAGTCCGCAGTGGTTTCTAGAATCAGCTGGTCCTCTAGCACACCGGCTCCATGGACTACACCAAGCACGGGTGGTAAAGGCAACTGGTCAAGGGCAGCAGCGAGATCGGATGCACCAGCTGGTGACGAAATGTCGACCGCTAGTGAATAAACAACCGCTCCTTGAGATTCCAAAAGTTGGATTTTACGAAGAGCCGATGCCAATGGTGAAGAGGAAGAAATTACCGTTGCCCATTGACTTCGAGGTGGAAGGCCACGGCGAGAGACCAGGATGAGTCGGCGAGCCCCTTTTTCAACCAGGAAACTAGCCACTTCAAGTCCGAGAGCGCCAAGGCCGCCAGTTATCAAGTAAGTCCCCTCTGGACGGATGCTGACACCTTTTCTCTCCGCAGGGGGGAGCAGTCTATCCCTGGGGAGAGATCGAAGTCGTGCAACACGAGGTATGCCGTCTATGATGCGGATGTTGTCGGCTTCACGGACGTATTTCATAGTTTCCAGAGGGAAGAGATCCGTCTCCAGATCGATCAATGCGCCCCAGTTATCAGGATGCTCAGAAGCAATGATCCTCGAGAGACCGTGGAGAGGTGATTGGGAAAGAGAACGGGGTGATTCGCTCGCTGACACCGCATCAGTGAGGACAAACACTTTAGCTGATACACCCGCGTGGATCACGAATTTGACAATGTCGAGTAATTCCTGAATGTACAACTCGGAGTCAGCGGCGATAGACACAGGCTCCCCAGCACTCTTCCCGGGGATGTACACGACAATTGTGCCCTTTTGACCTAAAATACTGACGGTGCTCTCGGTGGCGAGCTGCACAGCATTAGTTAAAGAGGTCACGTACTTGGCTCGGCCATTGAGATATTGGGCGTATTTCTGTGAGAGTTCGACATCCTTTGACACCAGGACGACATTGTCGATCTGAAGGGCTTCCTCACTATAGGATGCCGGTGGCCAGGCGAGTTGATGGACAAGACTTTCAACGCTGCCGCTCACACCGGCAGTCCCTTCGATCTCAGAGAATCGCATTGACTCGAATTTGGCGATCATCTCGCCATCTTCATTGAGCACACTCACATGCACTGCAAGAGCTGTATCGGAGGCTTCTTCAACGTAGAGATATCCAACCTTAGGCGGAGGGATTTGGCTGAAGAGACTGAACTTCTCAACCTGAGCTGGCATTCTAAGGGCCGGTCTATCCATGAAGATCGTTGAGCCAACGGAGGTCGCAGCATCGAGGATAGGGGCCCAGGAATAAGCATCCCAGGGAAGTGGAGCATCGGCAGGAACATCCGGAGCTACATCAACACGAGCAATCATCTCTTTCAGATTACCCAAGTGTTCAGTTACAGCCCAAGGGAATCCCATCGCAGTGACACCGACCTTGTCAAGGTAGTCGATGGAATGGTTTGAAGGGAGAACGGTTCCAATCCTGGCCTTAATTGCTTCGATGTCGAATTTTTCCAGTGGGCCGTCGGTACTATCTACGCTCCACTGACCGGTGGTGTGTGTGAGCCAGGAGGCATCGAAGTCTTCTTCTCCTTGCACTAGACGAGAACAGATCTTCACCTGGCCTGGATTCACGACCACCTGAATGTCTCTCGGCTGACTAATAGCGACAGGCACACGGAGAACGATGTTAGAGAGTGTCGTGGCTCTGGTACTATGAAGGAAGGTATTCACCAAGGCCGCTGCTGGAACAATTTCCGACCCATGCAGGGGATGACTTCCTGGAAATGGCTTGGTCTGATCATCCATCCTTGTGGTGTACAGGACCGTGTCTTCTCCAGCTATCGCTGTTCGTTGGCCGAGGAGAGTGTGTTTGTCGACATCATGTGTGGTCACATTGCTCAAGGGACCGGTCTCAATTTGTCTCCAGATATCCTTGTGACTCCAAGTTGTCAGAGGAACATCGGTTGCCCAAGAACCGTTCATTTGCTTCTTCCAGTCGACACAAGCGCCGCGGCAGTAGAGTTGAGCTATACTGTAGAGGATGGACTTCTCAGCCGGCTTATTGCGGGCCATGGTATTGACCACGGCAAAATCCTCGATATCCTTAGCCATCAAGGTCTCATTTACGGAGTGTGCGAGGATTGGGTGAGAAGAAACTTCCATGAACAACCGCTTCCCGTCTTCTACGGCTGCGTTGACGGCTGATGTGAGTCGGACTGGCTTGATCATGTTCCGGGTCCAGTACTCTACATCGCGGAGAGTAGCGCCGCGTGGATCATCCAAAGAGGTGGAGTAAAGTGGTACTACAGCCGGCTGCGGCTTGATGGAGCCTGAAAGTGCTGTTACCAGGTCGTCTCGAAGAGTTTCAAGCATAGGGTGGTGAAAAGCGATGTCAGTCTTAACGCGGAACGCTTTGATACCTTGAGATTTCAGGGAAGCGTGGAACGCATCGACCGCTTCTGTGGTTCCGGAAACAACACAGGACGATGGGGACGAATCGATGGCCACCGCCAAATTCGTGGAATCCGCCAGCTTTTCAGCCATTTCGGCGTATGGCTGATTCACGAGAACCATCGCACCCGTGCCGGCTACTCTACCATAGAGCTTCGCACGCCTCGTAACGATTAAGGCACCCTCTTCGGGTGTGAGGCATCCAGCTGCAACTGAGGCAGCAATTTCACCGACTGAATGGCCAATGACCGCGTCTGGAGTCATCCCCTTGGAGCGGAGGACAGCATTGAGGCCAACTTGCATGGTGTAGGTAAGGACCTGCACCTCAATCGAAGATTCGAACTGACCAGTCTCAAGCGCGTGAACGGCTGAGAATCCCATTTCCTTTTGCACAATCTGGTCAATGGAGCTGATTGTCTCATAGAATACTGGGTTGTGGATGAGCTCCTTCGCCATATCGTTCCACTGCGCTCCGTGGCCTGAAAATACCCAAACGACGTCTTTGCTGGTGTCGTTCCCAAGCACACGAGCAGAGCTTGTCCACTCTGTAGCTGAGCCGTCTGTGAACGCTTTCAGAGCTTGGGCAGCATCGTCATGACTCTCAACTACGAAGGCCGCACGGTAGTCATGATGACCGCGACGGGTGGTCAAGGTGGTGGCGATAGCAGCCAAGTCATCATGTTTGCCCTCGACGGATATCCAAGCACTCTGAGTGGTGGCCTGCTGAGCAAGTCGTTTCTCTTGGGGCGCCGAGAGGATTAGAACCTGCGGCAATCTCCTGGAGTCGCTGGTTTCAGAGGGAAAGATCAGTGGCTTATACTCTTCAATTACTGCGTGCGATACAGTGCCGCCATATCCATACGAACAGATAGCGGCACGCCTGGGATTTTCTGTCTCTGGCCAGTCTTGCTGTTCCTGAACGACGCGGACCCCGGCTTCTTTCCAGTTGATTTTGGTGTTCAGCTTCGACAGGAGAGCCTGAGGCGGAAGGACGCCCTTATTGACAGCAAGAACAGCTTTGATGAAGCCTGCGGCGCCTGCACCGGCTTCGAGATGGCCAATATTGGGTTTCACAGAGCCGA